CCCCCCCAGCTTTCCAGACATGGGCGGCCACCGAGGGGTGCCCATGGGGAAAAGGGGGGACATGAGTGGGGCTGGGGGCACAGGCAAAGAGCACCATGTTGGCCACAGGCCATGGTCTGCCAGCAGGCTGCAGCTGGCAGCTAGCCAGTCTGCTCCAAATCCAATTCCAGAGCAGCAGTAGCAGCTCAGCTGCTCCGGAAAAGCAGAAGGTGGGTACCCTGAGTACCCTCCTTATGGAGGGGAAGACAAGAGAGGGATTTGCCCAAGGCCGCCCAGAAGGCTGCTGTCAGAGCTGGGAATACAAACAGCCCCGCTCCTCATCTCTGGCTGAATAAATACCCCCAGCTCAGGGGGTATTTATCATTAAATTACGATTTTTTGTGTGGTATGCGATAGTTGCCAGGGGCCCTAATGGAGATTCAGGCCCCGCTGTGGTTTGCAGGGCATACACAAAGGATAAAAAGTCGTGCCTTCCCCCTTGCAGCCCAGGGACAGAGCTGGCAGGGATAAGCAAGGGATAAAGGAAAGGCATCGGTGAAATACATTCAGAGGCACTTGCAGTGCTTTACATACGTGATTAGTCCTAATCACTCACGTGTACCAAAAGAAACTGTAGGGACAGAGCTGCTGGAGTTGCTGTTTGTCTCCTCTCTATAAGCAATTGCCTGTGCTCAGTGTGAGTTAGCTTAAAAAGCCAAGGATGAGGTGAGGCTGTGCTGTTCCTCTCCTTTAGGTAGAAGGGAGAATTTTAGTATTCCTGACTGTCATCGATAGCTTTTCCTGGCATGAAATTCACTTAAAATTTGAAATTGCACGTTGCAAAGGTCTACTCCTCTGCCTATCAAGGCTCCTTTAAAAATGAATTTTAATATAGGTTCTTTTAGCCTGATTTCCAATGGAAATGAGGCTTACGTGGTCCTGGTGTCTTCATCTGTCCACCTGTCTGTCCATCTCTCTAATAACTTTTGAACGCACTGGCAGATTTTGAACAAGTTCTGCAGAAGCGTAATTACATCCCAACCGATTTCGTGAAAATAAATGACCTGGTAGCAAAAAGAGACCCTATCACAGCCCCCAAGAGGGAAAGTTACAAAGTGGGTTCATGCCTTATTAGATTTCAGACATTCCATAAAATATATATATATATTCCACTAATAAGTGCCTGATCTGTATGAAAAGCTTCAAATGAAGTTTATGCCATCTTAGACACCCTAGTCAATCAACCACAATATACAAATACACAGGAGATGAGGCTTTGTTAGTTCCAGTGCTCACTAAACTGCTTGTTGGGGTATTCTTTTCAGTACTAGAGGCTGCCACCAGTACTGCCTCATATTTCATGTGTGGCTAAGTAAAATCTCTTTAATCCTAGGTGCTCTATTCACTTGTAGCTGCGCAATGTAGTCCTTTGTGTTCAGCTAAGGCTCCCACATGAAAGCAACAGAAGGTTCACAAATAAATGTTTAGTTTTATATTTAAAAGTAAAGCAAACATTTCCCACATCCAAGGAAAAGCAGCAGAGATTTTTCAGTTTGTTGTGATGAAATGCTTAGCCCCCACCTCTCACTCTAAAATACAAAGTGTTGTCCATGTGTTGATACAATAAATAGGGGCAAGGAGCTGTGCAAAAGCTGAGAGAGACCCTTTCCCACTGCATGCATGCGTTTCATTCCCCTCTCTCCATTCTCACAGCAATACATTCCAACAACACGTGTTTCCTATATGGAATTTTTTATAAGGTCTGATGATTCAGTCGCTTTTGATATACCCTGACCCTCTGGCTGACAGCCTCACCTGAAAGACTGGTAAAAGGGCTGTGCAAACAAACTGCCCTCTCTGCCGCAGAGGTAACCCAACCCTTCGGGACTGGAGAAGAACAAACGTGGCAGGCAGGGTGGGGGGAAATACTTGTGCCTGGCCCTGCCCCTCTGGGATCCAGGAGTGAATTCCAGTTTCCACTCTGGAAGAGGGTCATTATTGTTTCAGCTCAGGTTTTCCTCTCTGCCCTTAGCACTGGCTCCAGAGAAAGAAGAAAGGGGAAGCCTGCTTTTGAACTGGGCTGAGGCAGCTGCAGATCCACGCAGAACTACAATATCAGTCCTTTGATTTATTTTGTTCCTGGGGATTACTCGCTGGAGGGGCTGTGTGTGTAGGCAGGGTTGGGTCTCTTTGCTTTTCACCTTTGTTTAGGTGTCATCCCAGCCAAGTCCTGGTTAAGGTCTTGCTTACTGTTCTGGTCTGGTTCCAAAACATTTTCCAAAGGATGTAAACTAACCTATCAGGAAATATTACCTCTTATTGTAACCCTCCCCCAACCCCATTACAGTGTTTTAAATCTTCTGCCTTCAAACACCTCCCACGTATATTCTGGTTACTTGGGCCTAATTGCTTCACTTTTCTCTGCAAGGCAGTGCAGGTTGTGTATTAGATAAAGATATGACACCTTATATTTAGCATTAATTGTAACTGCGCCTGTCCTGAGCATACATCTCTCTTGCCAGCCTTTCCTGTGTAATTTCAGTCCCTAAATAGCCCACCTCATGATATATTCTTTGATAAATTTCCCAGCAGTGTTCTTCTTGTGATATAAACTGCTACAAGCTCTTGTTATAAACCTTTGGGTGCTCAGCTCTTTAGGAATAAAATTCTGATACCTTCCCCCTCACCTGCATCTTATTTCTCACAAGAGCAGTCAGCATCTGCATGCAAAATAGGAGTAAAAACAGGGGCAGATTTTAAAAAGGAAGTATCATTTTGTGATAAAGTGGTTGAAAGCTGTATAGGAGAAGCCTTTTTTTGAGGTGCGGTATCCTCCAAAACAAAACCACGGTTTACCAAAATATCTCTTACCAACCATACTACCTTTTGGGGTTTTGTTTTGTTTGGGTGTTTTTGTTTTGTTTGGCCCCCCCCCTTCCCCCCTAAACAGCAGCAACTGGTTAGAAATTAGTTTTGCAAAGAAAACAGAATGGTCTAAGGGATGGAGGATACAAGAGAGTGTATTCCACTTTGCAGTGTCCCATCTGCAGGTTAGCCTGAGGTCATGGGGCTTTGCTGTCTTGAAATGCAAGAGTAAATAAATAGGTGCCTGTGCCACGGCTGTTATTAAACACTACAGTCCTTCCCTGTGCTGGCTGGCACCACAGAAAAACTGGCAAAGTTTTGGTGGAGATTGCGTCTTCTTCACGCTCTTCTCCCCAAGGGATCCAGGAGTTTGTGGATAGACTGTTACGTGCGCAGCAAGGCGCGCTCTGCTTGTCCCGAGTCTGAAGTTTCATTTGCAAGCGCTGCCAGCCCAGCACAGGGACGGGTGCATTAGTCATGTCCAAGTATTGGCAGAACTAAAAAGCCTGAAACAAAGTGATTTCAGGGTGGAGAGGAAGAAGCGTTTGCCTTCACCGTTCTCCCTCCAGCGACCCAAAGAGCTGCAGGCGGTGGAAGGTAGGTGTGTCACTTCTGCAGCAGCAGTGACAGACTACAATCTGGAGGATGAAGAAATGCTTTCAGATGCTTCCTTTCTGTCATATTACGCCGCCTCAGGGAGAAAACCTAGCTGCTGAATTGGAGAATTGCCACAACTGAGTCAAGCGCTTCTGGCCTCCCACTCAGTTTTTCAGCTGTTGTTTCCATGTGAGAATAAATAGGTAAAAGAGTCCTCTGAAGAGAGCAGAAAGGAACAACTGTGATCATGGGCTCATTTTTTGCAGCAAGGTATTTGCTGACTGAGCACGCACAGAATGGCCTTTAGCTGTTTTCCCCACTTGCTCCCATTCACAGGGCAACAGTTTGAGGCAGTTTCTTGTAAGAAATAGTGCTGACCCAGGTCTCTTGCTTAATCTTTCAACTCCCGTATACGCAAGGACTCAAAACTGGTTGCAGTTCAGAATTCAGCTGAGCTACCCTGCGGGGCCTTGGCCAAGTCGTCTGCTCTGCCTCAGTTCCCTATCTGTAAAATGAGGAAAATACTACTCGACTTCACAGGATTTCTACAGGGAAGAGCTTAAAAAATAAAACCCAAATCAACATCACCTACATTTACTTTGGTTTCTTCTGCAAGGGGAGGAGGTTAAAGAAAAAAAAAAAGAAAGACAGCTGTAGAGTTCCTTTGCACTTGAGCCAAACCATGAATGGAAGCTCTCGCTAAAGAAAATAGTGAGGAATAAGCAATGCAGTCTCTGAATAGGACGTTTAATTGCAGCTATAATTATGTAGCTCTCAAATCACAGTGTGCTTTATAGAGAGATGAACACCAGGAATGGGGGAGCTGATAAGTTAGGGCAGCAACAAGTCTACAGCATTGTGTACTTACCTGTGTCCACCTGTCAGTGTGCATTGCTACTGACTCTTTGGAGCAGAAAATGTTCAAGTGAGAGCTTATGGGAAGAAGAGTGGAGGACAGAGGGAAGGCTGGGGTGGGTGTCCCAGGCAGAGGCTGGAGGGATGGGGAGCAGACTGGCAGGAAGCAATTAATGGGACGGTCTTGATATGGTAGAACAGGCCCCC